TTAAGTTGTAAAGTATTTATACAACATGTTTTTTAACTTTTAATTTATGCTTGTATTATAGTCATTTTTACTCTTGTATGGTAAAAATGGAAATCTGATGAGAATCACAATTGAGATTAATGGGAGTTGTAAAACCCTCAAATGTAAATCAATAATGACAGTTTGCATTGTGGAAAAATGTGATTAATTGTCATAGAAATTGTCACAATGCAAAATGGTCCACAAAAATAAGCTTCATTTTCTTAATGCAAAATGGCATTATTTTTTTTTTTACATTTAATATTTTGATTTGGGGGTAAAATCTGCATGCTTTTGTGAGACTCACCCAAGAAGTGGAAAGCCTTTGCTGGGCACAAAGGCATTCACAGTAAACCGCTCCAGATGTTTCTGTAACTGCATACCCTCTTCCCGTTTCTCTCCAGCACTGGAATAAGGGAAATGGGTGGAGATTACAGTGGACAGGAGACGTGGGAGAAGCAAAGGCAATAAAATCGAGCAGAGAAGTTAACCCTTTACATTAAAAAGGAGAGGCCTAACCCCCCACCAGCACAAACATTCGCACTCCCCCTGCCTTTTGTGTGTTGCATACAGATGCCTTTTGTCCCAATGCTCCTCTGGGCTATCTCTAAATTACAGGAGATGTCCCAGAAGCCCCCAAACATGCTCACACAGAGCCGTGAGGCCCGGTTCTAGTTTAGACATCAGAGAAATGATGGCAGCACAGCTAGATGATAGAGATTTTTAAAAAGATTTGACAGCAAAGCAGTAGATGGTGAAGATAAGTATGGAGTGTGTCCTTAGATTTAAAGGGACTGACAGTAGGTTGAATAGCTCACACGATGGTACGTGTGTATTTGCACAAACCGAGGTGAGAGACCTGGTTGAGGTTGAGTTGAGATGGAAGTAGAAAGTTGGGTAGATTAAAAAATATCAGATGGATAGAAAGTTAAGAAGATGACAGTGTTTATGATTAGGGAAATCAGAGCTGGGCTCAACATTGGTACACAGTGACTGTGATTTGTCAAGTAGGATGTTCCTGAATCAACATACACGGTTCCCATGGTCATGGAAGTGTCAGGGAATTCTTAAAATTGTGTATTCCAGGCATAGAAGAGTCATGGAAATGAAATGGTAAATGTATACGTAGAAATAGTAAATATATACTTTTTTGTCTGCACAAGAACAAAATATTTTTGAGTAAAAGTGGCTTGCAAGCAGTGTTAACAAAAAAAATCTTTTCATTAATTGAAATAAAAATGAAATCTAAATATTAAATGGAAAACTAAGTTGGATTTGAAGCACTAAAATTACTCAAACTAAACTGAAACAAATAAAAATAAAAAAACAAAGGCTAATAAAAATGACAACCCTTTTAAAATGTTATACTACTAATAATAATAATTGAAAATATATAAAAAATAATACATTTTAATTATGAAAAAATACATTAGTAATTCAAGATTCAAAAATTATACTTAATACTATATAATTGTTACTAAAATAACACTGCTTGAAAGCCATAGAAATGTCTGATTTGTGAGCAATGGTTGTTTTTAATATTATCATTTTTTATTATATTTTTTAAGTTGGCTTTTTTAATGGATCACTCCAATTCACACATTGGTCTGAATGATTAATTGATGGCTCACTAGTCTGAATCAAAACGGTTACAAAAAACAAAAACAAATCCCAGTCTATTGTTTGGAAATTGAGCAATGGTTGTTTTTAATATTATCATTTTTTATTATATTTTTTAAGTTGGCTTTTTTAATGGATCACTCCAATTCACACATTGGTCTGAATGATTAATTGATGGCTCACTAGTCTGAATCAAAATGGTTAAAAAAAAACAAAAACAAATCCCAGTCTATTGTTTGGAAATTACTTTTAGTTTACATGAATGTTGTTCTAGCATTAACACCAAGATTTTGATCCAGGAACCTCCTTCTTGGTAAAATGACTGTGAGCCCGGGGAGATATAGCATGACTGGTATTTGTTCTGTGGTTTCAAGCACAGCTAAAAGCCCTCCAGTCTCTCTTGTTCTCTCTCTTCTCAGTGTAAACCAAGCGGTCTACCCAAGAGAAGAACAGAGTGCAGTTCAGCAGGAGTTGGGGTGGCAGGATGGGGGAGTTGCTTCAAAACTCTCACAAGTCTCCATTGTTTCTTTTTATGAAGTTCCTACATTTTTCTTTGATTTTTTGCAAAACTTTTGGTTTTATTAGGAGATTTTTCTAAAAACCTTTCAAGTGAACAACAATGGTGCAGGCCAGAAAAGCAGCGAATGTTAGGCCTGTTATCTTGGGAAAAGTTTGACCCATATGTTTAATCTGAGTGGGCAACTTTAGGTCTTGTATCCAAAGAGAACTTCCTTTTAAAAACTACTCTTTTGTTAGAGAAGTTGATTTATGTGCCAAAATAAATTGCTTATCAAAAGTTGAACTACGTGAGCTAGCCGTAACCAACTTCCCAATGTGAGACTGCTTTCTTGTACCATTTTTTGATGGATTTTGTATATCAGATTCTTGCTGATGTGTGAGCTGTTTAGTGAACGCAGCCACATCCAAAAGGTCAGAATGAAAAGTGCCTCATTCCTGTTCTCTAATGAGAGGATCAGGTGTCTCATTTCAGGACAGAGAGGGAATGCCAGAGTGAGCTCAATCTGTCCTCACTAGAGACCATTTGCAGAATACAGCAGACTCTGTAATGTGGCCAAGCATAAATACTGAGATTTCTCTGAGGCATAATTTTACGAGTCACCTGTTGGCATCACACTTAAATGTGTGCATGTGTATTCAAAGTCAGTTGGATGCATTTTCTCAGAACCCGTGTGAGGTTCAGAACTTTAACAGTTCAAATGTTTGTAAAGTCTTTGAAAGTCTTTTATGCTCACCAAGGCTGCATTTATTTGACCAAAAATACAGTAAAAACAGTAATATTAAGAAATATTTGTACAAATTAAATTAAAGAACAGCATTTATTTGAAATAGAAATAATTTTATAACTTTATTAAAGTCTTTTCTGTCACTTTTGATCAATTTAGTGCATCCTTCTGAATTAAAGTATATATATATAAAAAAAATCTTACTGATATATATATTATTGGTCCCCAGTTTGATTTGCTTCTGTTTTCTCGTTTATAAGCTACTTTGGATACAGGTGTCTGCTCCATCTGTAAGAAAGTTCTCCCTTCTGACCCACATTTCTGACCCCTAGTTTGCCTCTAGCTCCCTCACATGGTGTTTCCAATTTGCACTAGATTTGTTTTCTGCAGCTAACCACGTTACATGCAGCCTTTTTACTTCTCAACAAGTCGAAGTCCCCATGTGACCATTTTGGCCCCCTGACCATGGCAAGGAAGAGGTTGGGCCACTAGAAAAGTGTGAAGATAACTGCCTAGTATGTAAATGAGGCAGTTGTAAGTTGTGTGACAAAAGCAGACTATTGGGCTCTTTGAACCCAGGGTGTCTTCAGCATGTTGCTGCATGTCATTTTGGGTCTTCTTTGAACATGTGCATCCTTACGTCTATCGTTTGATGCCTGAATGCTTATGTTTGCTCATTCCAGGGTCTGTCTTCGAACGTCCGTTGACTTGGCACGGTTTGTTTTGTTTATCACTGTTGCTGCTTCGGTCTGTTATCATTAACGTAATAGTAACCATCCCACTGTTCTTCTCATATGTTGTGACTTCCTTTGGGGGCAGGGGCAGGGGAGTTGACCAGTTGCTAGCCAGTGTTGCCAGATTGGGCGGGTTAAAATTGGCTTGGGCGGGTGGACAACATTTGGGCTGGTTTGGGGTCAGTTTGGCGGTTTTCAAACATATAAATTGCATAGGCTAATTGTTTAACAAGCCCAAGTATGCATGTACTGCATCCAATCAGT